TTTCGGCGGCTGCGCTCCCTCCCGCCGGCCGCCCAGCCCGCCGTGCCCGTGTCCTTTCCTTCGCACGCCGGTTTTTACCGGGACTGAAGGCGGGCGAAGTCCGGCGCTCCCGGGGTGAAACGCCGAGCAGTCGCCAGCGCTGCTGCGGCACCAAAGTCCGCTCTGCCCCCTCGCCTGGGCCGACACGTGAGGTCGCTCCAGGCAGCGCTGGCCGTGCCTCAGCTGGGCCCGGGATCCTGCCAGCAGAGCGCCTTCATCGCCATTCCCTGTCCCTGATCCGCGGAGCTCCCTTTGCTGCGCTGTGGGGACGAGGTGTCTGTCCCCCCCCGCAGATCCCCGTCCCTCGTTGCATCCCCACCACGGTGCGGATGTTTGGCCGCATCCCGGGGCTCTGCCCCTCTGCAGCCACCTGGGTGCCCCCGGGCTGGCCCATGGGCTCACCTGGCTGCACCCACCACAGACACCTCCCACCTACCCGACCTCACCTCTGCTCCCTCTCCCTGGTGCCCCAGAACCCAAATTCGGGGCGATGCTCCCCTCTCAGAGCAAGGGAGGGTGCCCCAGCTATCCCATCCCGGGGTGGAACAGCGGGATGCTGTGGGGAGGAAGGACACGGACCAGCACGTGCATCACAAGATTTATTTCTGCCACTGGAAGCGGCCAGGAGCGCTTGGAATGTGTGTGGATGGCTGCCTGGAGTGGCTTAATTCTCTGGGGGTGGGACGGTGCTGAGGAAAGCAGCCACCTTCTCCCGCACCTCCTTCTCCAGCAGCTCCAGGTGATCCTCCACGCCGGCAGCGCCCGAGTCCAGCTTGCCGCGCATCTCCTCCAGCCGCTGCACCAGCTGCTTCCCGAAGGTCTCTCCGAAGGGAGCCGCCTGCTGCCGGAAGGTCTCCAGCGTGTGCCCCACACGCTGCTCCAGCTGCTGGGCCAGGGGAGCCAGGCGCTGCCGCAGGCTCTCGGCATCTCCGCTCGCCGCCTCCCGCAGCTCCCGTGCCAGCGGGCTCAGCTGGGCGCGCAGCTCCTCGGAGCTGCTGGCCAGGCGGCTGCGCAGCTCCTCGGCCGCCCGCTCCATCTGCACGGTCAGGCTCTCCAGCTGCCGGTTGAGGCCGTCCTGCACCTCCTGGGCGTAGGGGC